ATGCGCGTCGGACGACCTGGCTTGATACCCGTGAGCCCCTGTAACTATGATTCCCCCTAATCCGTTCAATCTCATGATCAGCACTCAATCAGTCACCCCCACCTACTGACACAGACTTTCACCCCCGCGTAAACGACACACCGCGACTGACGCTCTCCGTGAACGGACGCTCAATATGCTACCGTCTATACAACGATGAACTTTCATCCTTTCGACACTTCATTCTATCCCAATTTTTGCGTCTGGATGACAGTGAACCACTTTCACTGACGCATTCGTCCGATTCAGCACTCACTAGGCTGTCATGTGTCCGAAACGTTCTTCCGTCTCATACCAACGTGCCAACTCAGCGGCACACGTTGACGAGACCACGCCAGCATGCCCATGGTTGATGTCTCAACTGCACCTCTTTACAGGTCGTAGCGTCACCATCGTACGCGGTCCGAGCTATTCCCGTCATCATCGACACACGCTCTCAAACCCGCATGTGCATCGGATAATTTTCCACATTTCATCGTCTGCCTCACGATCGACACAATCACTTCGTTCTGTGTCTGGCGGGGAGCTGTAACGGCCAGCCATCATTGATCGAGACCTCGCTGCCTCAAGGTCATTCACGCCCTCGCAGCGAGCCGTCACAGACGAGCTGACCTGAAGTCACACGAGAAACAGCTCGGGCATACCTTCATCCGCGCAATCGCAGCCGCCCATGCGGCCACTTGAACGCGCCACTCCCTGCAACCAGCAAAACAGGCCACTGGGACTCCACCCCTCGGCAAATGCAACAAGCACGCTGACTGGCCACCACTTGAGCTTGGCCTACAAGCCTACAAAAGCGGCTGCCACCACTATCTCAGGGACTCTCAGGCCTGACTGGATGCAGTCAACACCAGCCCTGGCTTCGCCAGTGGCCACTGTCGCCTGAGAGGACAACTCGGGGCTCTGTGTACAATAAACCCCTTATCCTGGTTCCGTCTGTCTTCTCCTTCCAATCTGGGATTTGACCCGACGATGGTAGCGCACAGACAAGAGCACTTATTCTTACTACTGTGAAACCACAAATTGGTGACGAACCCGACGTGGCTGAACTCAACCGCCACAAAATTCCCACTCGACTTCGCCCTGCTGATTTTCCTGTGTCACACATCGTGCCCATGGATAGGAAAAGGCGGCTGCCGTCACCCTGTCGCTATTCGAGATGGATGCTATCAACAAAACTGCCATTCAAGTCCAGGTCAAATCTCAGTCAAACTGTGTAGAGCAGTCCTACAAATGTGTTGCCATCTGAACATCGCCACTTTTGTCTGAGACATTCTGCCGACTAAACGGAGCCGAAGAAAAGGGGGACTGGAGCGGCTGCTACAAGCATAACTAAAGTCAACAGCTGCCAACTTCTTAACTTCTACACTAAGCGTAACTCGACGTACGAGTAGAGCAGCATGAAGGCACTCTTCGGACCGATTCAAACACATTGCAGCACCCGGGAGAATAGCACGCGCCAGATCCACTCTGTTCGCGAAAGCATTATTCCTAATTGGCATCCAACAGCCCTTTATAACTCGGCAGCCTTACGCCCACTTCCGGAGAGCCCAACCAGATGAACATACAGAGATGTGACCTGAATAATTTTTCGGTGGCCTGTGCGGTCGAAACCATACACTGCCACAGAGATGTCTTGCGCAAATGCGTCATTAAAATCCAGGCCCGGGGCATAAATCTGGCTTCATCTCATGCGTGTACATGAGCATAAAGCAATTGTACAATGTGGTTATCAAAGCTCACGAGTCGTTGCGTGCACTCGAGAGACAAGCCAGTCCTTTGAGGTCGCCGTCGCCGCCGACAAGGAAATTGTCCGGGCAGAGGGCACAACACGTCGTGGCCCGATTGGGAACTTAGGGCTCAGATAAGCAGGCATACCGTAGGGTCTGTTGATCTGCCAACTGCGCAAACACCTGCAGACTTGCAGCGCTGATCGTTCAGACGTCATGTCTGACTCAAAAATGCCTTCCTCTTGCTGTATTGCTGCACGTTCCCGAAATTATTTCAGAAGAGTAAGTTGGATGTTCCGACTTCCGACCATAACACTTCATGGCATCATTAGATATCCGAAACTCGACTGTTTGACTTCATTCATGTAGTTTTTTTTATTCAGATGTGGTTATGTAGCCCCACCTTAAGTAAACAAATCCCAGCCAGGGGTTATTACAGGTGGGACTGTGAAACGCATAGGCGACGAGGTCAAGTAGTTGTGTGCAAAAGAAAAGCTATTGGGAATGCACGGTGGTTGAGAAATATTTGCCCCCTAGCTCTAACCCCTAACCCTAACTTCTAACCCCAACCCCAACAGTACTGTGTCCATCAGGTGGGGCTACATAACCATATCTTGCCGTTTTTTCTCTTCGCGATAGTTAAATGAGTGAGCAATCATATTTTCAAACGAAAGCCAGTACGTGGGCATGCAGGAATTGATGTGAAATGATGAACCGAGCTGGGCAAATATTTCTTGAATGGACGCGCAGGCAATGATTCCGGTCAATGCAAAGATTGTGAAGTGCTGGGCACACATAATTATTGTACATCTTTGACTGCCTTGGTACTAACGCCACCCATTCACTCAGTCTGGGAATCACCTACTGCAGCGGAATAGGGCGTTTGCGCAACAGACGCCTCAGTCCTGGTCGGGAACTTTTGAAATGGAACTGAGTAAATGCTGCCCAACGGGCCATACCTGTCAGCATCATCTGGCAGGTGTATTACTCTAAGCACGCAGTGCACTGTTTGGTCTCGTTCGCGGCAAATTGCCCGCCTGTACTTAAAATACATTGTTTAAATTAGGACTTAGTTCTGCATGCTGCAGTTGATGTGACTTAGCGCCGGAAAGAAGTTCTTGAGGTTTTAACTACGGCGCTCTTGCTGTTCAAAGTGATGTAATACTTTGCTAAAGTGCTGTAGTTACTGTTAGCCAGGCATCACATTTTGGAGAAGGTGGCTGCAGTTTAGTGTCTGTTATATTCCCCAATAGTATGACACCAGTTCTCTGTGGGATAAAAGACAGACAGGAAACCAGAAAACATCTTTACTGCTTCAGTCACCCTGTGTACATCAACTCTTAATCCTTCCGTCCGTGGCTTCGTATTTAAGGGTTCAGCCTTCGTCTGGTTTGCGTGTTCCTACTGGTCCAGTCCTGAGCGCCCACGTGAGCAGGCCCTCGCGTGTTGCTGACCCCTGGAGGTCGCGCGTGACTCAGCGGCGTGCTAATGTCTGGCTCGCGTGCAGGCTTCCTCGGCGAGGCTGTCCCGCCGGTTGGCGGTTCTTTGTCAGGCGTGACCTCCGAACGACAGGAACGGTGAGTCATATTCTGGGCCGTCTTAACAG